TAGTTGACTTATTGCATAATAGTATAAGAAAAAAGACCAAAACTCAAAAACTTAACTTTGACCACTGAACCATGAAAATGAGGTCAAAGTCAGATGACACCTGGCAGTTGGACATGTACACCTTACAATCATTCCATACACCAAATATAGTAGACCTATTGGATAAAGTATAAGAAAAACGGACCAAAACACAAAAACTTAACTATAACCACTGAACCATGAAAATGAGGTCAAGGTCAGATGACACCTGCCAGTTGGACATGTAAACCTTACAATCATTCCATACACCAAATATAATAGACCTATTGCATACAGTATAAGAAAAACGGACCAAAACACAAAAACTTAACTATAACCACTGAACCATGAAAATGAGGTCAAGGTCAGATGACACCTGCCAGTTGGACATGTACACCTTACAATCATTCCATACACCAAATATAATAGACCTATAATTGCATACAGTATAAGAAAAACAGACCAAAACACAAAAACTTAACTATAACCACTGAACCATGAAAATGAGGTCAAGGTCAGATGACACCTGCCAGTTGGACATGTACACCTACCAATCATTCCATACACCAAATATAATAGACCTATTGCATACAGTATAAGAAAAACACACCAAAACACAAAAACTTAACTATAACCACTGAACCATGAAAATGAGGTCAAGGTCAGATGACACCTGCCAGTTGGACATGTACACCTTACAGTCCTTCCATACACCAAATATACTAGACCTATTGCTTATAGTATCTGAGATATGGACTTGACCACCAAAACTTAACCTTGTTCACTGATCCATGAAATGAGGTCGAGGTCAAGTGAAAACTGTCTGACAGGCATGAGGACCTTGCAAGGTACGCACATACTAAATATAGTTATCCTATTACTTATAATAAGAGAGAATTTAACATTACAAATAATCTGAACTTTTTTTTCAAGTAGTCACTGAACCATGAAAATGAGGTCAAGGAAATTGGACAAGTGACTGACGGAAACTTCGTAACATGAGGCATCCATATACAAAGTATGAAGCATCCAGGTCTTCCACCTTCTAAAATATAAAGCTTTTAAGAAGTTAGCTAACTCCGCCGCCGCCGCCGCCGTAGCCGCCGCCGCCGCCGCCGCCGGATCGCTATCCCTATGTCGAGCTTTCTGCGACAAAAGTCGCAGGCTCGACAAAAACCACATTGCCTAATAACACAACCACATTAAATAATGGTGAAACCACGTCGAGTAATGACAAAACCATATTGAGTAATGACAAAACTATATCAAGTCAATACGAAACCATATCGTGTAATATCGAAATATCATTAAGTAATGACTATTCCATATTGAGTTATATCAAAACATCATTACGTAATGTCAAAACCATATTATGTAAAGACAAAATATCATCAAGTAATAATAAAACAACATAACGTAATATCAGAGTTCCACATAAGACAGCTGTGGCGTTCCATAGTTATTACAAAGCCCTTGTGTCAATAAGATTTAACAAATCCATACTAGGTATTTAACACATGCAATGTTTACATTTGATTTTTTTTTTCGGATACAACATTGAAGACTTTTGATAAAGTATAAAAAATGAAGTAGTGGGATAAACTTCAATGTGACAGAAATCCAATAACAGAAATACCCACAACGCAGGGGCAGATCCAGTAGTAATTTCGGAAAAAGGAATATATATGGTATATATTGTATAGCGGAGCGAGTCCAAAACAATTTTGGGGCGATTTTATGAATAAAAAAGATATTTTACCGATCAAAGGGGAGAGAGTATGCACTCTTTTACACCCCCTCCCCCCAAATCCGCTACTGCAACCGGTCAAGACACAACAAGGTCTTCTTTTTGAAACCCCTGGTTGACAGAATAGCAAAATACACAGGTGAGGGCTGTTCAAATGGTAGTTTTGCCCACAGGAATACCGACTATCGGTTGGAATATCATTTTAACAAACTTAAAAATATGTTGTCGATTAAAAAGTCACACATTTTGTTCACGTCTGCTTGTCTGCTTTAGAGTTTTTGTCATTAGAAAATCAATATTGACTTTACCATCTTGTACCGTGACAGGAATTTTCTAGACGTAGGAGAATACAATGGTATTATGGTTAAGTAACTTATTTTTGGACGTTGGACAAGACTCTTGTATGTTAACGGATTCAAAGTTCTCAATGTAGAACAGGAAAGCAGTATTGCAACTGATTTTTAGACTTATGTTTTTTATACCATTTTTCTCTATTCTTTATCTATTTTGCCCATTTTCCCCCTATTTTTCTCTTTTCTTATTATTTTTTTTTGCCATTATAGTGCACTATTGTCCATTTTTCTCTATTCTGTAAACCCCATGGAGACCCTCATACATGCATGCTCCTGTTCCGGTTCCAATTCTACTGCACCAGATGCGCATTTCGACAATTTATGTCTCTTCAGTGATGCTTAGAGGCCGAAATATTTGAAAATCAAAAACCTTATATATACAAAAAAAAAAAAAAAAAAAAAAACGCTGAAGAGCTGATCAAATAAAAAATAACCTATATATAGTATAGCCAAATCCGGACAAGGAACCAGACCTTTACATGAGGGAGATATATTTCTTAATTTAAAATGATTTCCAAAATTTTATAATAGTAAATTTCAATCTAACAATAGCTAGCTACTGGGTTTTCAAGTCAGGAGATGTCTCATGTATAGTAAAATCTTAACGTTTTTACAACCATCGTTTTGATAATGTATTGTTGATGGCGGATCTTTCGTGGTTTCTGATTACTGATTTAATTATTCAAATCTTTTTTTATAGACTCTATGACGATCTAGAGCTTTACGCATTGAAAAATAACGTGTCTTTTGTTAATTGATTTATTGGTGCTTGGTTCGCGCCCAGTGAAAAATATCTCAATTATTTAAGGCAACCATTTCAGTTTATATTCCATTAATTTTGATCTTAGTTTTGACAGATTGATGGATATTTGTTTACATAACTTCCAGCGGCAAATATTTCACGTATATTCAGAACACTTACAATTTAACAACCAATTAAAAGTGTAATTTCTGCCGAGTCAAAGAAGGGAAATTAAAATGTCGCTGGAAAAGAGAGCATGTTGTAAGTAAGGATATAAATGTTGTCTACAATATTACCTAAGGATCTCTCCAAGATTTCGTGTATGGGTTCTTTGACTTGCAGAAAAGGAGAGCAAAATTTGGTAGAATTCACTCAAACGAATGAGTAACTGTTGCATAGTTGTCTCTCATATTTCACGTGTATTTTACTATCAAGTGACAGTCGTCAGTCATTTATTGTCATTGGTTAAATCGTTATAATCGTTTTAAGTTAACTATAGTGACTCAGTTACATACTGTTTTATGCGACTGTCATAAAAGTGAGAGGTTTATAAAGACAATATAATAGAGAGCTATAAAACCAGGTTTAATCCACCATTTTCTACATAAGGAAATGCCTGTACCAAGTCAGGAATATGACAGTTGTTTTCCATTCGTTTGATGTGTTTGAGCGTTTGATTTTGCCATTTGATAAGGGACTTTCCAATTTGAATTTTCGGTATTTTTGTTATTTTACTTTTTACATACTGTCATATTGCTGATAGAATCCCAGCAAACATTGTGATAACACGTGAATTTATGCAAGTTTTTACATTAAATTGAACATAATTTCAAAAGTGTAATTGTCACTATTTAATAGAACAATATAGAATATTTCGTCAATTTAAATTTGAAAAAATATCAACATGAAAAATAATTATATAATAATCAATCAGAGACCAAGGGACGATGATGTAAACAAATAAAGGGTACTATACGGTTTCCAACCATTGGGAAAACACATACAGTATGGGTAAGCTATATAAGGGCCCGACATGTCAAAATGTGAAACAAACCAAACGAGAGAAAAAAAAAACAACGGCCTGGTATAATCCTAAAATGACACTCGAAAAACTTATAAGGCAGACATCAACCAACGACAATTACAAAATTACAGGCTCCAGACTTGGGACCAGCACATATAAAAAAAAGAATGTGGAGGTGTTTCACATGTTTTTGAGCGACCAAACCTCCCTAAACTGGAACAGTGGTGTAACAGCACAACATAAGTACAAACTATCAATAAGTTTGAAAAGGCTTGACTTACCAGATTGATACTAAACACACACAAAATTACGAAAAACTACAAAAAAAAAACCAAAAGGTATGGATATTAAAGTCCCCACAGTTACTAAAAGCTAGTAGTTCAAAGCAAATTCCCACTTATGAATAAACCGTGTTTTCCCTGACTAAACATGTTTACTTCCATGTTGGTCAAAATTTATAAAATAAGTATAGCATTGTAATTAAAACCAAATATATTACGTCTATAATTGACAGGAACTGAAACAATCAAAGTAATTTACTTTTAAAATAGGAAAAAAAAAACCAGAAATATATCAAAAAGTTAGAAATACAAAAATTATACTTAATATAATAACGCTATAACGAATACTTGTGTACATGATACCCATATCACTGATGATACTTTCTGATATATCTTGTGGAAATCCCTACTTGAAAAAAAAGTGAGACATGTTTAAACTGTTTGGATGACAGCTATATTGTGGAATAAATATTTAAATTATTATAAACATGTGGTATTTAAAAATGGCACAGTGTCTTTATTTTTTCATTTTATTAGCGTGTTCATGCTCAAACGAAAACAGTCTTGTAGAAAAAGTAACTCATTAAATTTCTATGTATAATGTGTGGCGGAAAATAAGAGTAGAGGGGCCGCGTAAAAAACGAAAAAAAGGCTGTAATATGTATACCATTAACACAGAAAATGATCGAATATGTTCTGTGGTAAATAATGCACATGGTTTTATTTTGCGATTTTCCGTTGCTAGATAAATAATCAACTAAATTCAATACAAATTGGTTTACTTAAACTATACGAAAATGGCTATATTTACTGCAACAAATTATACACAACTTACCGGTTTATATTTGATACCAAAAGTTGATTAACTCAACCAGGACCTAACAAAACAAAAAGCAACATCATACAACTCTTTCGTGTCGCCATTTTAAATTCACGGTTCAATTCATAGAACTTTAAATCAATCTACCTGTACGGACTACATTTATATGTTTAAATATATTAATCACACGAATCCAAAACCAATTATTTGAAGTATTGAATTGTATGCAGGAATCCGTAATGAATAGGGACACGTTTCTTTCCGATAGAGGACCTATAAAATGGGATTATACAGTGCAACGATTAGCACATTCACTATTTATACTATAAATAATTTAAAAGAAAAGAAAAGAAAAACAGCAAAAATATAGAATATAACATTAGCTCATAAAATTACCATTTAACATTATGTGCAGTGTGTGTTGACCATGCACCAGAAGCAGCATCATTATGAAATAAGATGTTTTATGAATTTCATTGAGATAACTACCCAACCGAGTCTAAATAAAGTGGATTTAGAAACTATAAGGTCGCCTTTCAGAATCTAAAGTTTAAAATTATAAAAATCATAATTTGTGTCTAAATATAACTTAGATTCAAATGCGTGTAATGTCTATGACTATAGAAAAATAAAATATCATTATATTGATAAAAACTCACCATTCATCTTATAAATGGGGCATGGATTTTTTTTTAATAAATTGTTGGACTCTTTTAATTTTGAAAAAAAAAATAATTTGTTTCAGTTATCATATATGATCTAGGGGTAATTTCTCTTTTCTCTGTCATCCGTTTGTACGTGCGCTAATGTTCATTATCAGCAGCCGTATCATATGTTTTAAAAATAGTTTGTAATTTAGATACGATCGAAAAAATTGCTTATCCCGGGGAAAAAATCACCATATGTGCCCCCAAAAGATGAATGGTCGATGCTTTAATATTATTATGAGTATTAGCCTGGGATCCAGGCTAACTGCTAGACAGAAGATTTTATTTGTATTAACCTCTAGTACACTTGAATATTGTATTAGGTACCAGATTAATTGGACATAACCAAAAAGTACAAAAGTACAACAAACAGAGAAAGTAGAAGTTTTGTTGAAATAACAAAATGTCGGGACAATTTACACACCCTAATATCGGCGATTGGTACCGAAGATACAACAGGTAACGCAGACCAAAATATGTTGTCCACTGTACTGCAATGGTAATCGGAAACGCAGACCAAAATATACGTGATAGCCAATGGCAATCGGAGACACAAATCCTATTGTATCCGCTGTACTCGTAGCCCGTAATATGATGTGAATAATGTAATAACCTTTTACATCACGACACTTCTACTTTTGGGTTTTTGCAATGGGCGACACAGATCATTATTTACACGGTTGCAAAATCCACTTTATTGCAATGGCAATCGGAAACGACAGACAGCTCAGATAATCTGCAATACACGATAGCCTAAACAATTGTTTTGATTGGCAATCTGGAACACAGATCCTATTGTATCTGTCGTAAAGATAGCTAGCTGGTAATATAGTGTGGTCTAAGATTCCAAAATAATGTAGACAACAGCGGGACAGACACGCAGTCAGGAGAGCAGTCATTGACAACTTAGTCTTACTTTACCTTTTCCAATGGCTGTATTAATAGATTCCAACCATTTTTGTGACGTTGGAAAGCCTATTATTTAAACTATATACAACTGTTTAACTGTATAATAACCTTAATTTATATAACCTTAAATAACCTTTTGTTCGTTGATAGTATTAATGTTCTCTACGGTAGGTTGATTACGGTATTTAAAACTGAGGTACAAATTATCATCCCTCTGTGGACAGAAAATATGACTCGCGGCATAGTTTTTTTTTTTTAAACTTTTGACAAAGTACAATGTTCTAAATCCTTACCGGTTTTCATATTACAGACAAACCTGTGTAAATTGATCCTTCGATTATACATGAATATTTCATAATTGATAATCAAATGGATTGGATAGTAGACACAGTACTTACCTATGCTCTCCAAATACAAGATGAACAAGTTAAATATATACAAAATATTGAACAAAAATCCACGTAGAATGAATCCATAGATTTTACTATATCCAACTGAATATAATCAACTTAAGGAATAATGGTAAATTTAATACATGTATTTGCAATCTATAAAAAGTAAATTGAACTGAATTATTATGTATGCGTATATTTTATCCCAGGATGTATTTTTAACGGCTTGCTAATTATCACTATAGTAAAATCAGTCCGTAAATAGTGTATTATAGACCTTATTGACTTTTACTCAGGTAATGCTTATCTGTTTATTGTCGTGTACTTTACATGATTCCTCATTTTAACAATTGACTAGCACGAACGCTTTGCTGTTTTACGATAATCTGTCATATATTGATTTTTTGAAATGCAAGGAAATATTTATATAAGAGCATATATAAGTCTAAGATAATGTAACCCGAATAATTCAGTCCCTCCCCGTGATCGACTCTCCCACTCGCGAGGGCCTGAACTCTTTATACGATAAAAACGCGTCACGAATCCAGGATTTTGATTAATGTAGCCATCGTAGAGCAGTGGAATATAACGACTGAATTATTCGGGTTAAAGATAATAAAAAAAATTCACCAAAGATACCAGGCTTATAATCTTTCACGTCAGACGCGCGTTTCGTCGACAAAAGTTAAGACTCATCAGTCACGGGACGCTCGAATCAAAAAAGGTAAAAGACCACAAAAATGTACGAATTTGGAGACCATTAAGGGCAAAAACATTTCGAAAGATTTTGCCACTTACAGCTGAGGTAATCTATTCTTAGGGTAGAAAAGTTAAGTATTTCGAACATTAACAATTCTTCAAATGCATTTTATTCTTCTAAAAAATACTTGACATATTAACTATTGTATTTTTTTAGGTAACCCGTATTATTATACTTCATGTCAAAATGCCAGATTTTGATTGCCGTAGAAATACGAGGGAGACAATTTACTCTATCCCATGGCAAAAATACTCTATTACCCTTCACGGAGACGCTTGCTCAAGTGTGCGCTTTAATAGATACGGATGATTGTTATGTACAAGATGATATAGTTTATTACTTTGAATTTGAAATTAAATAGACAGTTATAACAGAACATTCAGTATAATAAATTAAATAACACATATCTGAGAGGGTGATAGAGCAGATTGTTACCCCTCGAAAAGACATGGTCAACCTTGGCTTCGCCTCAGTTGACAATGTTTTCTCGGGGTAACAATCTGCCCTTTCACCCTCTCAGCTATGTGTTATTTATATAATGTTATACAACTGAGGGGAAAACACTACCAAATTTTCTCCAACATGTCCAAATAAAGACGATATCAATCTGCAACAAATATAAAGCCTAGACCCATTTTTTAATTTCCTCTAAAAACTCTCATCATAATGTTTGACTCTTCTAAACTGTTACATGCATAAATATCCTAGCTAGGAAAGGAGAAAAAATGTATTTAATATGGTAAAATCCATGAGGATGATTAAAAATATTAAACTATGATAATTTTTCCTATGGAATACATACACCGGCGGAATGAATCCACTGTAACATTACATGTATACATCCTGTCGATACGATGAATTAATATTTTGGCATTGCAAAAGGTCATGAAATTACTACAAATGAATGCGTTAACCAAAAATATATTCATGCGCCAGGCCAATTCAATGACACAAATATACAATTTACGCGTGATAGAGGTTACGGGTGGGGAAATTAAATTATTTATCTCCAGTTTTAAAGAAATATAAGGAATAACGCTTTTTAAAGGATTTTATTGGTGTATACATAAACTGGTCCAGTCTATACACCAATAAATTCCGTTAGAAAGGTGTTTAATCCTATAATAATATTAGCTAGTTTGGTTTTAATTTATTGATAACAAAATCAATATGTATACCAATAAAACAATATTTAAAAATAGATCTAATTACATTGTCGAACTGGTAACCTTTTAGAATATTAAAGGATTGATTAGTTTACCCGGATCGTATCTAAATTTCCGGGCTCGGTAAATAACATATCTACGTAAAATTCAGCCAGTCACATATATTAGGGTTTTAATTTGAATATATTAATTTGGGTTTAACAGTCACAGGAATAATAAAAAAGAACAACACTATAAAAATAAATTGCGTGAAACTAAAACGGGTAAACCGGTTTTATTTCGAAGATTCTCCAAATTTTATGGGTCCTTGTAAAGATAGCAAAGCCGGAAACACAAACGAAACGAAACCGAGCGAAACCAAACTGAAAACGCGATATAGAACACAACCTTACGAAACAAAATCTGTAACTTAAGAGGATGTAGTCAGGTGAAATTTAAAATATATGGAATTTAAAATTGATGCTTTAAATCAGAAGGAACTAAATAAGTAAAGCTAAAACTATTGACGGTGTTATGGAACTCCTTTTCGAGATATTTGATTTAAAAAAAAATTGCGGGAAAAAGCCGACCCGGACTTTTACCTTCTTATATTTAGCACTGGCATTATTTGGGTCTCAAATCGTAAGAAAAGAATCTGCTTAAATTTTGGTAATGACCTTTTAATTATGGAGCCTCCTCATGGGGTTTTTGATTATGTGATTACTTGGTCGTTTTCATAGTGATTATTTGATTACCAGACAGGGGCGTAGCTACCCGGAGGCATGGCAGCACGTGCATCCACGTCGTTTTCACACAAAAAAAAAAGAAGAAAAATAAAGAAAAAAAAAACAGAGAGAAAGTGGCGGACAAAGTTAACATATATAGGAATTGGGTTTTCTATGTATGCATTTTAAAAACAACACAAAGAATAAAAGCAAGAGGAATACACATGCAGCGAAATTTTTAATCATGTAAGACATGTATGTGTACCATAAATACATACAACTGGTGTAAACGTTTTATATTACGGGCATTGTTTAGAAAATACCAGCTACATAGTTGTTGGTACCACCACCATTACGTAGACTCGCTTTGAGTGCAAAAAAAACATAATCCCTTTAGGGTTAACAAAAAAACTTGCAAATTATTATTTTCCGCTTCGCCCTATAGCACACATCTTACTAGAACGAAGACTCTGCAACTCGTATCGATCCGGGAATAATGACTGTTACCTTGTGAACTAGTTCAAAATTGACTAAGTATGTAGGTTAACACATTTATTTAAAAACCAGTTGTTGGCATGACACGGGTTATGTTCTTCACATATATGTTATGATGGTATGATACTAAACCCCTAACGGGAAGGATTGTGCCTGATATTCATATGATGAAGACATAATCTTTCAATCAGTTTAATTGAAGTCTGGAGCTGGCATGTCAGTTAACTGCTAGTAGTCTGCTGTTATTTATGTATTATTGTCATTTTGTTTATTTTCTTTGGTTACATCTTCTGACATCAGACTCGGACTTCTCTTGAACTGAATTTTAATGTGCGTATTGTTATGCGTTTACTTTTCTACATTGGCTAGAGGTATAGGGGGAGGGTTGAGATCTCATAAACATGTTTAACCCCGCCGCATTTTTGCGCCTGTCCCAAGTCAGGAGCCTCTAGCCTTTGTTAGTCTTGTATTATTTTTAATTTTAGTTTCTTGTGTACAATTTGGAGTTTAGTATGGCGTTCATTATCACTGAACTAGTATATATATTTGTTTAGGGGCCAGCTGAAGGACGCCTCCGGGTGCGGGAATTTCTCGCTGCATTGAAGACCTGTTGGTGGCCTTCTGCTGTTGTCTGTCCTGTGGTCGGGTTGTTGTCTCTTTGACACATTCCCCATTTCCATTCTCAGTTTTATTTGACAACCTGAATAGTTCATTTTCACATCAAGTCAACGTATTCTTGTCCTGGTGTGCATTTAATATTTGCTACCGGACATTAATAACCATTCAATCAATCAATAGTTCATGTATTACGTTTTCATCTATTTTACAAAAAAACATCTTGTATATAGATTCGATAATTGGAAGTCGTTTCTATATGGGCCGGCTATACGAATGGTTGATTGTTAAAGCATTTAATTCTAACTCGTTTTACCTGACTATTTGGTCATTCAATTTTATAATGAATTTTCTGTCCGAGTCGGACACTAAACTGCTGATTCTTGTTCGAAAGATACACCAAACTTTTAATACACGTATCTTCACTGTTATCATCTAGATATTGCCATACAACTGGTCGAATGCATATGTATTTGTTAATTAGCTGGATAATAAACAAACGCAGATCATGAAAAAGATCGTATAAGTACCATTCCCTATGAAAAAGTTCATTAATTTCAACTTCGACAATTCCTAACTGCGTAAAATTAGAAATTCATATCCCTCTCTCTTGTAGAGTTTACCCACAAAATTTTTAAACATCTAAATACATATGTTAAGTAAAATATTGGAGAATGTTTCCACCAAGTATTTGGTATCCAATGATGTTTATGCTAACAGAAACTCCACATATAGTATTGTGTTTATGTTTATTGTTTGTTTTCTATACTTCTTCGCTCAATACAAATACTAGCATATGGAACAATTAATCTCCGTGATTTTAAAAGCTTTCACGGCGTACAAAAAACGCAAACGACAATGTTTAGTCTTCATTCGACTCGAAGTTAAAGAAATAGTTGACAACAAAAACACAACAAAAATGTCCAAGTTTTATTACGGTTGTGATTGTTTTGAAACGCTATATATGCGCCCCCCCCCACTGGACCCCCTACCAGGGCTTTGCCCTGGACATACTGGGGGCCTTAGGCGGCCCCCAGACCCCTCGCCCTTTAGTTTGTGATTCCACTTCATTTAGAAGGTAGCTACTCCCATGCAAGACCATATATTTCATGATTATTTGATTATTTGATAATCTAGGACTGTATATTTTATCATTTGATTATCTTGTTTAAAAAAAAAAAATAATGATTATGTGATTATATTGGCAAAAAAATTGTGATTATGTGATTAATTGGACCAAGGACGTATATTAGAGTTATACGTCCTTGATTGGACACCCCATGAGGGGCCTCATTGTGAGCTATTGCACTTTGCAGTCTTCAATCAAAAGAACAGTGGGTGATATTGGGCAAATATTTTACCCTGTATCCGAAAATCTGAAAAAAATTCATAAACCTGAAATGACTAGTACTACATCCTTAAGTAACGGCACATGTATATTGTATACTGGAGACATTAAATTTACGTCGTAACATGCATGCCGTAAAAACATAAAAATCAATTTCGTTTGTCTCCCTTTGTTTACAAGACCACTGACATGCGAAAGACGATCTAGTAAGTTTTTTAAATTTTAATGTTTTATCAGCACAAACAACATATTTTATCGTTCTAATGTCTTTATATAGATTGAGAAAACAAAGGATAGCTATCAAAGTGATTGCTGTTAAGGCAAAATGAACACGACATAAAATCCAAAGAAAAGAGGGTGTCCTTTCGCCCCATAGTCCGTTTGCACCCATTATTACTTTTCAAAAAATACATCTGTATTATTGAATAGTACTTGGTGTAAAATTTTCATCTATTTATTTCGTTCATGTGAATAAAAGGCAAAATTTTAGAAATGAAAATAATGAAATTGATTGATTAGTTTCAAGCTGTTTGGCAAATGTTTGGCTTTATCTGTTTATTGTTAGTAGGAGTTATATCCCTTAAATTACTATTTTTTTTTTACATTTTTGTGATTACCATGATTACAGTGAAAACTCTAAGAGATAGTTACAATATGTACACAGCAGAAATGATCAGCAATTCAAGATCTTTTTGACTGACAACGTCTTTGTTACATTTGGATGTCATATTTTTCAACAGACAATTGGCATTCCTTTGAGAATCAACTGTGCCCCTTTTCTAGAAAATTTGTTTCATTATTTCCAGGAGGCAGACTTCTTTCAGGAACTCAATAACAGAGCTCCAGATAAGCTGCGTAATTGCGTGATCACGCAATACAAATGATTAAAAACCCAATGCAATTGCCCATTGCAGGGTTCAATAACCCAATTAATTCAAAGGAAAACCCAATTATATGCCAAAACCATGAGTTCTTAACGCTTTTATTCGCTATCGTTTGCGTTATTTACCCTTATCTAATTACAATCGTCGCGTAAATCTATTTTTATAATATTTACAATTGGAAATTTCCTTTCGTTCTATAAATAGAGCCCTGCATCAAGTAGCTGAAATGGGTCCCTGTTGGAATTTTCCGTTGCTCAAAAGGTACACGTGTTTATGAAAACATTTCGATCTTCTCGGCGTTTATCCAATTAGCGTTTTTTTTTAATTGCTCGGGACTTATCGTAACATACAATGAATTAAAACGAAAGTAAATGTCCGGTAAAAATATTGAATAGAAGCATGTTTTCAGCTTCTTTTTGATAGCTGAGGACAAGTTATGGTGATAACAAGACTCAGCTAGTGTTTTATGAAGCGTCCGTCGAACGCACGGGCGTGTTGGCGTACCTTAACGAGAACATTGCTAGAACGATAAACACGGGGTTTCTTCAAGAACGAAATGAGTTGGAAAAAGTGAAAGGCCAAATTAATTATGACATGTTATATAGTTGGAAAGCATCGGAAACCAAAAGTTCTAATAAGGGACAACTTAACCCAGATTTATGTTAATTAAATTAAACAAAAACATTCAGGTATAATTTTAGTTTATATATTATTTTTTCATTTTTAGATGATGAGTGAATACACATATCTGTTTTTTTTACGTCAATGCAGCTTGACACTTTCTTTATTTTGGTCTAATTGTTCTGTATGCTTAAGATAGCTGTCTTATTGGCAAGTGTTATTTATTTATTTGATGTTGCAGAATTATTTGTAAATTGAAGTTGAATGTGGTGTCCGTAATTAAACCACCCTTTAAACCTGGTCAAGGTTTTGGGGTATATCTTGAATCAGGGAACTACTTATTATTTTTATTAAAAAGTAGATCTGGCAAATAGGTGAAAGGACTGGCAAAACTTTCTTACAGCACCTAAATTTCACATATATTACATAAAAATCTTAACACTAAGCCACACCTACCCCAAATAAACTGTAGGATATCATATAGGATCTAGAAAGGTAATTAGTTACTGTCCAACTAGTGATTGATACCAGCTGCAGTTTATATAAGTTGCGAGAAAATACAAAACTGGCAGAACGTTTAAAACGGGACACAAATCAAACGTACAATTGCTCGTCAGTGAATAAACCAAACAAAACAGCTAGCACATATACAAAGAAAGAAACATATTAAAGATGGAAAAACATCTTGGGTTGATATAATGTGATTATAACATGCCTAAATATTCAATATTGTGTTGATGAAAAAACCCAATACATTAAGGAGCTTGGTGGTGAAAAACCCAATTTGATATTTGCTTGAGGGGTGAATCGGAATTGATAATGCAATTAAAAAACTCTATCACCCAATTACATAAAAAAATGATGGGTAAAAACCCCAATTTGTGAATTCTTATCTGGAGCTCTGCAATAAAAAAAATGAAAAAGAAGCTTGCATTGACCTTTAACTTTACATTCTGCTTATATAGATGATGTCTTTTCACTAAATAACTCGAAGTTTGGTGACTGTGTTTACTGCATCTATCCAAATCACTTTGAAATAAAAGATACCACAGATACAGTTAAATCATATCTTGACTAACATCTACAAATTGACAAAGAAGGTCTGTTGGCAACTAAACTTAACAATGAAAAGATGATTTCGATTTTCTAATTGTGAACTTCCCATTTCTGTGTATCATTATTCAAGTTCCTGCATATAGAGTATATATCTCCTAGCTGATAAGTCATTCCAGGGATTGTTTTTCCTGTCATGATTATTCTGCTTACCTATAAGCTATTGCATAAAGGGTTCCAAATGGTAAAGTTGAACGTCATCCCTATGCAATTTTTATTTAGTTGATCATTATGGAATATCTATTTCACAGATGAACATGCATATGTTCCACTTGTTGTAACCAAAATCCCAGTCTCTTTTCATTGATAGCAACATAAACAGAGTGTGACTTATCGCCATATTTGTTATTGTTGATGGTCTTTTTGGTTTTTTTTGTTTCGTGTCGCCAAGTTGTTGTCTGTTTATATTTTATTTATGATTGCCCCTCCAATGGTACAACATGTACACATGTACGCAATGTATCTTTTATCTAAAGAAAAATGCCAGTATGACTGAATTGATAAATTGGTTTTCTATGTTGTGTTTTGTGTACTGTTGTTTGTTTGTTTGTCTTTTTCTTTTGTAGCCATGGCTTTGTCAGTTTAATTTTCGACTTATGAGTTTGAATGTCCCTTTGGCATGTTTGGTATACTTCGCCTCTTTTTTTTAAAGCCTCTCAGTCATGTCAGTACTTACTGCCGTTAAATGATGATTTTAAACATTTTGATCTGCTTAAGTGATCAGCAATTTGATATCTATAAAATAAATGGATTATTTTACAAATAGTTTTTGTCTCCCCTTGACGAAGTCAAAAATCAAGACATAAGTATGCTGTTTCCGGCGTCGGCGGCATCAACAATGTATTAGTTTGTGATTAGGTCTAGTTTATGGTGAGTGACAAGTGGTAGGTCAATGATATTTGGTATGCAGTTGTATTAGCATTGTCACATCTCATTTCCATGGAGATTATTTGGCCCTGCCCCCTCAGTCATGGTCTATTGACTTTGAAACTTTTGTTTACCTAGTTTACATGTATTAGTTTGTGATTAGGTCAGTTTATGGGGAACCACTAGTGGTAGGTCAATGATATTTGGTATGCAGTTGTATAAGCATTGGCATATCTCATTTCTATGGAGATTATTTGACTCTGACCCCATAGTCATGGTCTATTGACTTTGAAACTTTTGCTTAGTTTACATGTATTAGTTTGTGATTAGGTCAGTTTATGGGGAACCACTAGTGGTAGGTCAATGATATTTGGTATGCAGTTGTATAAGCATTGTCATATCTCATTTCTATGGAGATTATTTGACTCTGCCCCCATAGTCATGGTCTATTGACTTTGAAACTTTTGCTTAGTTTACATGTATTAGTTTGTGATTAGGTCAGTTTATGGGGAACCACTAGTGGTAGGTCAATGATATTTGGTATGCAGTTGTATAAGCATTGGCATATCTCATTTCTGTGGAGTTTATTTGACTCTGCCCCCATAGTCAGGGTCTATTGACTTTGAAAATATTGCTTAGTTTACATGTATTAGTTTGTGATTAGGTCAGTTCAAGAGGAACCATTAGTGGTAGGCCAATGTTAATTGGTATTCAGTTGTATAAGCATTAGCACATCTCATTTCCATGGAGAATATTTGGCCCCGCCCCATCAGTCATGGTCTTTTGACTTTGAAACTTTTGCTTAGTTTAAATGTATTAGTGATAAGATCAGTTTAAGATGAACTGCTAATGTTAAGTCAATGATATTTGGTATGCAAATGTATTGGCATTTGCAAGTATCTTTTCCATGGAGATTATATAGCCCCACCCCCTCATCATGGTTCCTTGACTTTGAAAATTTTACATAGTTTACAAGTTAATGTTTGTGTTTAGGTTTGTTTAAACGGAACGACTTATAATAAGTCAATGGTATTTGGTATGCAGTTGTATTTAGCATTAATGGCACATCTCATTTCCATTGAGATTGTTTAGCCATGTACCTTCAGTCATGGTTCATTGACTTTGAATATTTGCATAACTTACATGTTAAAGTATTGCTATTTTAATTTCAACATTTGCATAATCAAAATTACAAAAAGGCGAGACATATCTCTGTGATAACAGTTTATTTTCCTGATTTTTATGTTCATATCAATATGCATCATATGGCATGATTTTTTCTGAACGAGGGATTCAGCTACTTTTGAAATTTGTTATGTACACTGTATTGTAAAGATCTTCAATGTGTAAGTATATCTAAGTTTTATATACCAGGGTTTACTTTCGAATAAAGAGGCATATATACATGATATATAAAGAGGGTTCTCACGAAGGGGAGTCCATGAGTCCTGGACTTGTCAATCCAAAACTGGTTAGTCCAAAGATGCATTAAGATCATGAAGATTGTAATATTTTGTATCAACTGAGCACAAATATCATCATTTAATGACAAAAGTTTAAAAATAATTTAAAGTTGATGTCATTTACTTGCTCAATTTTGTCATGGGGATTGAAATAATAAATGATATAGTAATAAAATTTCATCTTCTTACTGTTGGATACACCATGGCCAAAAATGATGAGTCCCTGGACTTGCCATAAAAAATCCTAAGTGAGAACCCTGGCTTAATTCACTGTTTCAGAATCTAATCCAATTGAAATGATAAATGATATAGCAATAAGATTTCATCTTCTCACTGTTGGATACACCATGGCCAAAAATGATGAGTCCCTGGACTTGCCATCAAAAATCCCAAGTGAGAACCCTGGCTTAATTCACTGTTTCAGAATCTAATGCATTCTGGGTAATATACTAAGGACACAGCAATTGAGAGTGCAGCGACTGGTTGCTCAGAATTAGAATAGTTTGTCCTGATAGGTTGACATTTCTTCCTGCAGACTGGTACCTGCCAGTACTAACAGGGTTTATACTCAATCATGTCACATTAAATAACATATGCTTATCAATAATATGCATGTTATGATTGAAACTGGACGTTAAACAGCCATTGCTATCTTACTACATGTATTACCAATAATCTAAAGTTTTCTTTTTCTCTTTTAGGCAGGACCCAGAACTTCATGAGACGATTGCATTTTGAAAATCAAGTATCAATACTGGTTTCATTATAGTTATATCTACATTATATATATGTATATATACATGTATATCCAACACATTTGATATAAAATGATAAAGTCATGAATGAAAACAGTAATAAATGTGATATATGTGGTGAACAGGAATGTCTAGGACATTTACATTTGTACGTAGAAACAAACATCGAAGATGAAAACAATGTAACACCTACTGAAGAAAACGGAACGAATATTATCACTGAAAATGTAACATATACTGATGATGAAAACGAAATATACCATGATAATGATGAAAATGAAAAACACACTAATGATGAAAGCAAAACACTTAATTATGGTGAAAAAAATAATTTAGGACTTAGTTATGATAATGAAACAAACACAAATGATGAAAAAGAAACTTTAACTAAATATGAAAAGGAAACTCTGACTAATGACAGAAATAGTGACAAAAACTTTAAATGTTATTTATGTGGAAAACTATTTGGTCAAAAAGGTAGTTTACAGATACACTTGAGATTCCATAATAATGAAAAACCTTTTACTTCTGGTAATATAGGATATTTAGAAGCAAATAAGGAAAAACATTCTCGTGTAAAAACTTATAAATGTGACATATGTTGTAAAACTTTTCGTTATTCTAATTCGTTTTTAAAACACAAAAAAATGCATACTGACGTGAAAACTAATGAGTGTGATGAATGTGGTAAATTGTTTTATGATATTAAAGACTTCAAGCGTCATTTGAAAAATCATACCAGTGAAAAAAAACATAAATGTGACGTATGTGGTAAAAGTTTTGCTCATGAATCTATATTGCGGACACACAAGAGAATTCATAGTGGAGACTATCTTTATAAATGTGATGTTTGCGGTAAATCATTTAATCAAAGTGGAAATTTATTGTCACACATGAGAGTACACACTGGTGAGAAACCGTTTATGTGTACTGTATGCGGTAAAAAGTTTACACAGAGTAGCACATTGACGCTGCACCTGAGAATACATGCTGATGACAAACCTTTCAAATGTGAGCAATGCGGGAAATTTTTTCGTTGGAAAGGCGATTTAAAAAATCACATTGCAAAGCATAGCGGCAAAAACCTTTATGAATGCCATATTTGTGGTAAAAAGTTAAGTCAGAGTGAAAATTTAAGAGAACACATTAGAATACATACTGGTGAAAAACCCTTCAAATGTGATTTCTGTGGTTTTGAGTTTAGTAGAAAAAATTACTACAAGAAACATATTAAAATGCATACTGGAGATCAACCTTATAAGTGTGGTGTGTGCAACAAAGGATTTAATTACAACACAGGCCTCCAAACTCATATGCGAAAACACACTGGAGAAAAACCGTACAATTGCGATGTTTGTGGTAAAAAGTTTAATCAGAATAGAAGTCTAAAAACTCACATAAAGAAACATGCTTGTGAAAAAGTAGAAAATTATAAATGCGATATTTGTCGTAAAGGTTTTCTTAAGTTAAGTGACTTACAGAGCCATACTATGATTATTGAAAGCAAAGAATTGAAGATGTATTTTTGTGAACAGTGTGCATCTGGTCAGCAATAAATAACAAACAAATAATCTTTCAATGTTATATATTTTGAATATCTTTTTTTAACAAAAAAGGATAGAATATAAAAATAAGGAGATGTGGTATGACTGCCAATAAGACAACTACCCACCAGAGTTCGAATGAAGTGGATATAAGCGAGAATAGTCTTTTTTTTCTTGGGGGGGGGGGGGGGGGGGTTACATGATTTTATTTATATATGCAAAATGTGTTGCTTTTGTCTTTTATGGAAGTTGTCTCTTTGGCATTTAAATCACATGTACTTATTTTTCTTTTGGAAAAACATGAGGAATGGAACAAAAATCGATTTCTTGAATTTTCAAAACATCATATCTATAATTCATAGATGTATAAAAATTCTTCAAAAATTCTTCAAAATGTACATATACTGAATCACACATAACAGTTTCCTATTTCTTCTAAAACGGTATACGTTTTATAGTTCACATTTATATGCATGGGATTCCTTAATAGGTTCAATGCCTTGGAAGATGAATATATACTATATAGTCAAAATATTCCATTTATATTCCCCCTATTTAAACATAAGAACATGTGATATGATTTACAATGAGACAAATATCCAACAGAGGCCAAACGACGTAGATGTAAGCAACTTTATATAACCATATACTTCCTTCAACAATGAGCAAAACCCATACTATATAGTTAATAGTAAGCTATAAAAGGTCCCGATATGACAAAATGTAAAACAATTCAAACGTGAAAATCAATGGCCTGATCTATCTATTTAAAAAAACAAGAAAAAAAAACCATCAACATCATAGGTATAATAATATGACTGCAACAATTTGAGCACTAGAATAGTTTTTCAAAGCCAAGAGCGTGTTATCCACAGCACAGCCAATGCGGAACTATATGCTAAATACTACAACCGACACAACCATCGTATTCTAGTAAATACTACACGGAAGTTCTTAAGAATGAAATTATATATAGTAAACAATCATATCATAACCACATCACAGCTTAAGGACTCTTCTGAACATTTGAAGGTCCCTACTATGTATTGGTTACCTAAACTACACAAAAAAAAAACCCATAAAAAAATATCGTTTCATCTCGGCCTCTAGTAAGTGTTATACAACTAATATTTCAGTACTTTTAACTAGTTCCTTAACTACTATCAAAGAACTTATCATTAACTTTTGTTATAAAATATATGAAAATAGTGGAATTAACTATTTTTGGAGAGTAAAAAAATCTTTAGATGTTTGAGATAAATTACGTGCTTCGGATCCTGTTGACAGTATTGACTTTTCAACTCTTCACACTACACTTCCACACAATCTTACCAAACAAACGTTTCCTATTCAATTAAATGGCCGTTTGGTAAATCTGAATGCAAATATATTTGCTGCAACTCATTTAAAGCCTTTTTCTCTAATGAGAAAGGTAAATATGCTAGATATACTTACTTGAGGTGTGATGAGAAGATTGAAGCTGTTAATTTTCTCATTGATAATATTTATGTACGTTTCGGCAATAAAGTTTATCGACAGGTTGTAGGTATTCCTATGGGCACCAATTGCGCCCCTTTAATAGCAGATTTGTTCTTGTACTGTTATGAATCATAGTTTATGACCAAACTCAGTAAAGACCCCTCTAAATTTCATTTAATTGAAAAATTCAACAACATTTACCGTTAACCTGATGACATTTTTTTCGTTAAATAATCAAGAACTTTCTAAATATACTGTCGAAATTTACCCATAGGAATTTACTTTAAATAAATCAAATATAAACCGTAATAATTTAATTTTGGATGTAACACGTCTTCTGATTGGCTGAATGTTTTTTTGTCTATCAGCTCATAGACATAATTTTGTCATGTGACCGTGACGTCATCAACGTTTTTTTCATGATTTACTCCTTAAAAAATGGAATTTAGAATTAAATTATAAAGAATGACTGTAATAATTTTTCTGTCTATTCGAAATAACTACGCGGGTTATTCAGTTTTACATGAGAAACTCTACACTAAAATTTCCGACAAAAGGGACGATTTTTCGTTCTCTATTGTTAACTTTCCTTTTTTGGATGGTAATGTTCCTTTGGCACCATCTTTCGGTGTTTATATATCACAACTCGTTCGCTATGCCCGTGTCTGTTGTGACGGTTTGGATTTCAATTAACGTAATCTATGTATTACTGGTAATTTTTTAAGTCAGGGATTTCGTTAACACAATTTACTTCAAACCTTTACTAAATTTTTCTTTAGATACAAAGATTTGGTTTGGAAGTTTGGTTGTAACTGTAGAAAACTTATTTCAAACGGGGTAGCACATCCTAATTTTTACGAAGATGCTGTTTACCGAACCGGGAAATTTAGATACGATCCGGGTAAACTTATCGATCCTTTAAATACACTTCTAAAAGGTTACCAATTCAACACTGTAATTAGATCTTTGAATATTATTTTTATTGGTATTAATATTGATTTTGTTCTCAGTAAATAAAAATCAAACTAAAACGTTATTTTTATGTACATATGCACATTCATGGATCTACAATCAATCGATACCGTATCTTTGCATTGCATAAGGTCATGTTTTTCTCTGACTGTAAATGACGTCTTTACACTTAATCCATTGATGTTGGATGCGTACTGATTGATATTTTAGTTTTTGTCTTAGATGCATGATTTTTTTATTAGTTGTTATTGGCTTTGATCTAGTTGTCAGTAACTACGAGTACTAGATCAGATCTATAATAACCGGTTTTGTCTTTTTTTGTTGTGGGGATGCATAAGTACACTGCCACTTCAGGTCTGCGTTTTTATACGACCGCAAAAAAATTTTTGTGGTCGTATATTGGTATGACGTTGGCGTCGTCGTCGTCGTCGTCGTCCGGCGTCGTCGTCGTCGTCCGGCGTCGTCCTGCGTCGTCCGAAGACACATTGGTTTTCGCACTCTAACTTTAGTTTAAGTGAATGGATCTTTATGAAATTTAACCACAAGGTTCAATACCACAAAAGGAAGGTTGGGATTGATTTTGGGGGTTATGGTAATAACAGTAAAGGAATTAGGGGCCAAAAAGGGGCCAAAAATAAGCAAATTTTGTAACTTCCAGACATAACTTGTGTGTTAGTGTATGGATCTCTCTGACATTGTACCACAAGGTTCCATATCACTAAAGGAATGCTGGGATTGATTTTGGGGGTAATTGCCTCCAAATTTTAGGAATTAGGGGCCAAAAAAGGGGCAAAAAACAAGCATTTTTCTAGTTTCATGACAATAACTTGTGTGTTAGTGTATGGATCTTTCTGAAATTGTACTACAAGGTTCCATATCACAAAGGGAAAGCTGGAATTGAGTTTGGGGGTAATTGCCCTAAACGTTTAGGAATTTGGGGCCAAAAAGGGGCCAAAAAACACATTTTTTTCTAGTTTCCAGACAATAACTTGTGTTCAAGTCTATGGATCTCTCTGAAATTGTACTGCAAGGTACCATACCACAAAGGGAAGGCTGGGATTGAGTTTGGGGGTGATGAATCATAATGGGGGTTCAAAAAATTTGGGGGGGGGGATTTATTTTTTTTTCATTTTTTTTCTTTTTTTCCTTTTTTGTTTCTTTTAAAATTTTCCATTTTAAGTTGGTTATTTCTGATTTATATTTAAAATCAAATAATAATGATATGGTAGGAGATACACACCAAACAGGATGTGTAAATTATTATATAATAAGTATTGTGCAATAGCAAGAAATTTTCAATTGCACAGTATTGCACAATAGCAAGAAATCTTCAATTGCACAGTATTGCGCAATAGCAAGAAATCTTCAATTGCACAGTATTGCGCAATAGCAAGAAATATCCAATAGCACAATATTGCGCAATAGCAAGAAATTGTCAATTGTACAGTATTGCGCAATAGCAAGAAATATTTAATAGCACAGGATTGTGCAAAAGAAGATACTTGCTATAAATTGCTTATTTCTTGACCAATTTCAATGGGGTTTTATTCTTGATTTCATGAGGTTCTTTAATATTCTGAATCTAACCGTGTATTTAGTTTTTGGATTTTGGGCCCCGTTTTTAAATTGGTCCACATTGAGGTCCAAAGGGTCCAAAATTAAACTTTGTTTGATTTCATCAAAAATTGAATTATTGGGGTTCTTTGATATGCCGAATCTAACTGTGTATTTAGATTCTTAAATTTTGGTTCCGTTTTCAAATTGGTCTACATTAAGGTCCAAAGGATCCAAAATTAAACTTAGTTTGATTTTAACAAAAATTGAATTTTTAGGGTTCTTTGATATGCTGAATCTAACCATGTATTTAGATTTTTGATTTTTGGGCCCCGTTATCAACTTTGTCCACATTGAGGTCAAAAGGGTCCAAAATTAAACTTTGTTTGATTTCATCAAAAATTGAATTATTGGGGTTCTTTGATATGCCGAATCTAACCGTGTATTTAGATTCTTAATTTTTGGTTCCGTTTTCAAATTGGTCTACATTAAGGTCCAAAGGGTCCAAAATTAAACTTAGTTTGATTTTAACAAAAATTGAATTCTTAGGGTTCTTTGATATGCTGAATCTAAACATGTATTTAGATTTTTGATTATGGGCCCAGTTTTCAAGTTGGTCCAAATCGGGGTCCAAAATTAAACTTTGTTTGATTTCAACAAAAATTGAATATATGGGGTTCTTTGATATGCTGAATCTAACCATGTATTTAGATTTTTGATTTTTGGGCCCCGTTATCAACTTTGTCCACATTGAGGTCAAAAGGGTCCAAAATTAAACTTTGTTTGATTTCATCAAAAATTGAATTCTTGGGGTTCTTTGATATGCTGAATCTAACCATGTATTTAGATTTTGGATATTGGACCATAATAGGTGAATGTCCAATTTAAAATTTTTAAGTTCTTAGACCACATTCAATCTGTGTTAGAAACCTATGCTGTGTCAAATATTTAATCACAATCCAAATCCAAAGCTGTATCAAGCTTGAATGTTGTGTCCATACTTCCCCCAACTGTTCAGGGTTCGACCTCTGCGGTCGTATCAAGCTGTGCCCTGCGGAGCATTTTATTGATAAATGTGTTTCTGCTTTGTATCGATCTGATGAGTTAAGGCCTTTTTCAACTGATTTTTATAGTTTGTTCTAATGTTGTATACCAATGTCTCAGGTTAGGGGGCGGGTTGACGCCTTCAAAAGAGTTAAACCTCGCCACATTCTGTATGTGCCTGTCCCAAGTCAGGAGCCTGTAACTCAGTGGTTGTCGTTTATTGCTGTATATCATATTTGTTTTTCGTTCATCATTTTGTACATAAATCAGGCCATAAGTTTTCTCGTTTGAATTGTTTTACATTTGTCATTTCGGGGTCTTTTATGGCTTGCAGTGTAGTATGGGTTTTGCTCATTGTCGAAGGCCGTACGGTGACCTATTTGCTATTAATTTATATGTCATTTGGTCTCTTGTGGAGAGTTGTCTAATTGGTAATCATACCACATCTTCTTATTCTTATAGTAGTATTTGAATTGAATACCCCTTGCAATCGTTTGCGGCCAGCTGTATTTTCATTTGTAACTTTATACTTCAAATACATTATACCATGTAAACAAAACGTATGCATAAAAGGGAGCTATCATGTCTTAATGTTTTATACATGTTGATATATTGCACCAAAAGAAAATATGTTTTTTAATATCTTAAATATATTGTTTAATCACGTTTAATCGCAATACTTCTTGCAGTTGTTCAAGACAGTATTTCGAGGATAAAAATCTGAAAAATCAGATCGACATTACTAACGTGGTTATATAACGCGAGGACAATCTTGTGGGTTGGAGAACGAGTTCAATTTTGATACCATCAGTTGACATGTTTTTAATATGATGGAAAGCTGGAATGTCACAAACTTGTTTGCAAATGCTACGGCTATGTCAGAAATTCTCATAGATAAACATATGGTTGAAAATTATCCTCATCTGTTTTTTTGTTTAACGTCTGTCTACAAAACAATCCATAAAAGAAATCAAATAAGAGTGTCTTTAAGGGTAGGTCTCTATCGTAAAGATACTTGTAAATAGTAAATCTAGTGTCTGTCATCACGTATACATTTGATTCAGAACTTTTTGCGTGCATTTATTAAAGCGATTGCTGAACAATGGACAAAAATGCAAAAGAAATTATTGTCATTTCAGGAAATGGCTTTATAAATAACGCCATCAAAATCTAAAGTGCAAATTTTTGTTTTTTGCGTAACTTATTCCGTTACATCTTTGCAAAAAAAAAACCAATAATAATGTTATAGCAAAACTTTCTGAATTTACAGTAAGCATTATGTATTATAAGCATTATTTATTGTCTTTTTTCTAGGACTATATCAAACGTGTTACAAACAAATCGATAAAATGAACATTCGATTAGGCCACATCAATTTGATTCCTATTTCCTTGGATTTTCCCGCTCCTGTTTTGGAGAAATTGACTTTTCAATAAAAAAACAATAATTACCTCTTTCGCAAAATTTTGGTCCGGATGCCGCTCCAAAATTAGTTTCTATTTGAAAGTTTTTTTTTTCACATAGACGCTTTTCTGTTGCATATTTTTAATTTTTAATTTTAATAGTTTTAAACGCACGTGTGATAAATCAATTTGTAAATAAAAGGTCAAAAATCGGGATGCCAACATTCTGTTGTGTCAGCTCATTGCCGTGGACAAGTAGTTATTGAACATACAGTTATCCGAAATGCTTCTCGTTTTACCTTCGAAGAACTGTTCTAGAAAGCAAAAATTAAAAATCTTTCGTTAGATGACCACACACACATCAATACTTGTTAGAACCATCGTCATCCCGACCATTGTTTCAACAGACATAGACCTATTTATCTTGGATGAAATGAATTGTAAATTCCCATGAACTTTAAAAAAAAATCAAAGCAGTATTTTATTTTGATGAAACCCCATATCGCATTGTTAGTCTTTTTGCATGCAAGCATATCTCTTCATATGTTAGGGGAAATTGAAAGAGTTCCAACAAGACCAAGGTGATGGTATTATGATTCATTGGCATGCTAATAATAATTAGGGGTGTGTAATTGGTTCAACCACTTCTAATCAAGCTTAAGAGTTTTAAATGCATTGCAGCTTTTAGGATCAAAAGGAAAGAGTATTTTGCTCAGCCAGAATAATGCATGTGAATGGGGTGACATGCAGGTATGTTAAGGGAATATTTTAATACACCAGAAGCCTTTATTTGATTGTCATATACTACCGGTATCTCATCAATGTGTGTAGTTTAAAAAAATATGAGCACCTGTGCCACAGTCTGTACATAAATGTTTAAATAGTTACAATTTATCAATGTTTCTTTTTTGGTAACACACATGTTTTTGGTTCCCAAAATACTCTTGTGAACTATATATTGCTTGTTAGCTATTTATATATTTATAAGCACATTGTTTGTGCGATATCATATGATAAATTAATAAAAAATATTTCAATGAGAGATTTTTTGAAAAAAACAAGTACAATTTTCGATTTTTAACGAAATCTGTGTATTTTTTGTGTGAAGCAATGTTGGAGATTAGGGGAATTAAATTAATGAATATGTATAAAACACCAATTCTTTGTGTCCTATTACCAATTGTGACATTTTGACTGTTTAAGTGTGGATACAAATGACTGTTGATTTATAAAAGAGTTCATGCGATTCCTTCATTTTTTTGTATTTATACTTCATAAGTTTATTTCTGAACGGTTTTATTAAATTCAAAAATGGATGAACTACTGTTGCCTCTAATCTACAAATTATTTATGTGATAATTGCTTAGCAAAGGCTTAAAGAATCCAGAATTTTAACTTCTGTTATATATTTATTTATACATGTAAAATACCATCTTTGGTTACGGTTATCATGAATCGAGCCTTGAAACATGATAATTGCGACTTTAATTTTGATAAGCGCCAGCGGAAAGTATAATTATGTATGCAAACTTTAAGAAAAATTCAATGCTCATAAAAATGAATATAACATCTGTTGGGATCTTCTTTAAAAGATCGAACATTCTAATTCTATTAATAAAAGTATCAGCTGCCTTGTTACTTCCTGTATAGAAGAAGAGTATTGCATTTTGTTGGTTATATCATTTCTATTTTTCCGTTCCACTCTTTATGTGTTGCTCTTTCCTTGATTTTAATTCTAATCTCAGTTTCGCCGAAAATCAACTTGACTTTAATTTTGTCGGATGTTCCAGTGTCTGATATCTGCTCTGTTATTGTTCCTAATACCGAACAATCATCTTCATCTGTATACACCGGGTTATCCTTTTCTGTTTGATAGATAAGAAGTGTAAACAATCCATTGTTTTCTGGTTTCAATTTTGCAGTGGAAATAACTTCTTTGCCTAAAGGTAGAATTTCATTGCGTTTCACAATTGGATCGAATACATGACTGCATTTGTCTTTTCCGTCCACTATTTCTAAATGACTACGATCATGTTTCTGTGGGTCAAACTTTTTTCGTTTACTGAATCCATATGTGCATTTAGCAATTCTTTCCGAAATTGCGCCTGGTTTATTGCCAAATATTACGGCTCCTTTCAAAACCGCCATTCCACTATCTATCGGAACAATTACTTTCTTATCTGGAAATGTAGATTTTATTTCTTTTTTAACTAACGTACACTCCGAAAATCCACCAACAAGAATAATTTGTGAAAGTCCATCAACACCTTTTTTATTCAATATTTCACCAATTAATTTGGTTATACCAACGATGGTTTGCTGAAATACGGAAATAAAAGTATCTTCCTTAATACGTATATTGCCATATCTGGTCGCAATATCTGTACTAAACTTGGACGATTCGATAGCTGATTTGAAATTTTTATTCAAATGTTTTTCACAAAGTTCCTCAAATATCATAAAAGGGATGAACATCCTTATTTCTTCTGAAGTACCAAAATTTCTTTTTTTTATTTCAAAATCTCTTGATAGGTCGAGATATAATTCAAGGTATTTACTCTTAAACTCTTTCATCGCTGCAGTTCCAATGATACTCTCTATCAGTTTGAAGAACGTGCGGTCAACACTGGTTCCACCATAATCCGCTCCTGATGCATGGCAAATCTCCTTAAGGCTTCCGTCATTCTTTTTTTCATGAACTGTAATATCAACTGTGCCCCCTACAAAATCAAATGCGATGATAATATTTTTTATAATTATTTTTTTTTTGCCTTTAAACTTTCCATAACTTAAACTTGCAAAATTATTAACTGTTTCAGTACCTTGTAAATTATACTTACGTTTGAAATCCTGTCATTGCCAAAAAAAGCATAACGATTCTAACAAAAAAGCTTTCCGAGCATTACAAAATAACTTAAATCCACGTCATTTTGCCTGTGGTTAGTTAACTTATTGATAATCATACCACAGTTCCTTATTTTCATATTCTAGAAAAGCTTTATCTTCACAATAAACCCATCATAGACACCAAGATGAAAATTTGTACGCCAGATGCGCTTTTCATCTTCAAATATAGTTAAGGTAATCTATTCCGGGGGTAGAATCCTTAGTATTTCGAAAATTCAAGGTTTTGTAAAATGTTAATTTATATGACCATATAAATAATAATTCATGTCAACACAGAGAAGTGCTGACTACTTGGCTTATGATACCCTTGGAGAGGAATCCTCCACCAGCAGTGGCATCGACCCAGTGGTTGTAAATAAACTTATCATAGAGACTAGGATTAAAATATTGTACGCCGGACGCGCGTTTCGTCTACAATGACTCATTAGTGACGTACGAATAAAAAAAGTTTAAAAAGCCAAATAAAGTACGAAGTTGACGAGCATTGAGGACTCACAATTCCGAAAGGTTTTGCCAAATACAGCTAGGGTAATCTACTCCTGGGCTTAAAAATCCTTAGTATTTCTATTCGAAAAAAGTTTTGTAATCAGTTAATTTATTATTTTGACTATATCAATTATATTTCATGTCAACACAAAGACTACGGAGCTGGTGATATCCTTGGGGATAAAACCTCCACCAGCAGTGGCATAATATTACCTTGCTAAAACATGTCACAACTGTTAGCACTTACTTGTCCACGGTGACATTTACTACAGTATTTTCTCTACAATCTACAATTTATACTATTTAATACCAATTGAATATTCACTTCCTATCCTTAGTTTGTAATTCCTTTGAAATTCAGGCAAACAAGCCTGATCATGGATTTTTCCATCCTCTAAATACGGAATACCTCAAAAGTGCTTCAATGCAGAAAAGTAAACAATTTGATGAAAATATGAACGAGGATACCTACAATCCAAAGGAGGTGATTTATTTGACTATTGCACAAATCCAACCATGTATAAGATTATTTTCATGACCAGAAGTAGCTACTTTAGGGAAGGATATTTTTGATATAGTCAAGGGCTCAAGATGGAAAGGGTGATATAATGGATTATCAGATTAGGGAAAAAATGGCATGATATGAAATGAATTTTACGAAGTTTTAACTCCTTTTCAATTACGAACTTCTACCTCCACGTTGACATTTAGTTGATTCAAACTTGTTATGCTACACTTAAAAAAACATTTAAAAGTGACTTATGTTTTTTTAAACAAAGCAACGAACTTGTTTAGCTGTTCGAAAAAATATCGCAGCTTATCATTAATGTATTTACATATTAATTCCGTTGAAAGTCTTTTTGTAGAATTTAGAATTTTAGAAAAACCGCTATTTTTTCGCAGTGATTGAGACTAGGTCTAAGGTCGTATTAAATCTTTACATGCCTGAATATGTTTTAAAACCATTGATATGCAGTTGGACGGCAAACGATTTAATGGCTTTTAAGGTCAAGACATTGGTCACGTGACAAAAGGTCAGAGTCTACGGTTTTTTTGTAAACGTTCATGCCTCGTGGTTTTTTTGACTCGTATCGTCTTATTTGTACTCGTACATTAATAAAAATCAAAGTGTTCAATTCTTGAGTGAATAAGCTTCAATATTCTTCATAATTATTATTAAAAAGTGTTGTTAAAGTATCCTAAATTCACGAGTGAAGTGAAACTTTTTTACTGAAAATTTGCGTAGGTCCACGGAAAATTCATAATTATTCCTTAAAAAGGTATGATAACGTGTTGAGGGGTATAAAATATGAATCAAAACCATTTTTTACATAAAATTTAATTAATCGATCCTAAATTCACTTGATACGAATTTGTGTCAGCTTATTCGTGGCGAAGTGGAGATCAAAGTGAGATAACTCCGTACACGCATCGTAGGAAATTGCAAGTTCACAACAGTAAATTCGAGTTAAATTAATGATTGTAGTTATATTTCATGTTCCTTGACTATTGTAACATTAAAATAGTCATGGTATGGTTGAATAAGGCATTTTTCAAGTACTTATATACAGGTTTTTGAAAACTTCCAAAGGAGAAAATTATACACCTGAACTGACTTTTCACTGAACCCAATGGACTTATTGTATATTCTTAAACACCCTTTTGGTAGATGGAATGATACAAGTCTTTGTTTTATTTTCTTTGAATCAATATTCTTAGAAAGGATATGAAAATAAACTCAGTGTTTGTACATGTTGGTTGTTAATAGAACAGTTTTTTTTAAATATAAATTTCACTCTAAAATTAAGACTTCAATTAATTATTTTTTTATATATAAATAAGTATCTAAAATAGAAAGTTTTTAATCTGGTTCACTGAAAATGTTGCATCAGAAATGAGATTTAACAAAGTTTTTCAGTTTTAATAGACTGAATAACTTATAGACTGTCACTTTGTATGCTGATCATGATATGGGGAAAGAAAGAGTGCTATTATAAATTCTAACACAGCATCAATTGTGAAACAATAGTTCTCTCCTTCACACATTTTAGTTTTCAAGATGCGAGGCTTGCTGATCAATTCAAATATTTACGATTTCGCTGTTAAGAGTGGAAAAATAACTTATTGACAGAGATTCTGTATGGGAATGTTTCTCTACAATACATCTATGTTACCAACTATCTTTTTTTTCTACTTTGATCTGCAAAGAAATGGGTTCTTTATGTGTGACCTCAATGATCGTCAGGCATGATTATTGGTAGTGTTTTTTCCTGATGTAACAATGGCAAATTCTGAGAAAAGCATGAACTTTTCAGCAGATCCAGGTCTTTGATATAGAGAGAGGGAGGGATTATTCCAAACAAAAATTATATTTGACTTCATGCCAAAAAATCACATACAAGAGGTGTTTATCAGCCATTTGTCAGCAGAACTTGTGTTACATTTTAAATTTGCATTACATTAAAATACAATATGGAAAAAAAAAGAAAATGTAGACAATACATGCTTCAAAATTGTGAACATTGACATTGAATGAAAAGTCAATTTGCAGTGGACAGAAGTATAATTTTTTTTTATATTATACCTGCTTTAAGATACAGTGGCGGATCCCAGGGGGTGGTCCGGGGAGAGGAACCCCCTTTTTTTTGGACGATCAATGCATATGAATGTAGACACATAGTTGGAACCCCCCCCCCCCCCCCCCCTTATCCTGGGTTGGGAACACTCCCTCCACCTTTTAAAATTTGATGGATCCGCCCCCAAGATAAGAAACTATATAAGATGTACAAGTTATGTTACTCGCTCTTAATCAAGAGAAATCATCTGAACATCCAAAAGTCCAGAAAGGGATTTAAAACATTATAATCAACACAAAGAAAACTTAACAAAAAGCTGTATTGCAATCTGATATCATGCAGTTTACATCATTCCTATTATTACAAGTTTTTGATTTTTTTCCCTTAAATTTGAATTCAAAAGTTCTACAAACAACTGTTGAGTCTTTTAATTAAATTATTGATTGAACAATGAATGATTAGTTTAGCTGATCAGTAAATAAAGTCTAAAAATGCTTTGTTTAAATAAAAGAGTGTTATTATGTCATAAAATATACTGAATCAACTTCAAATTTAATCCAAATTCATATTTAACTGCTGTAAAATACAAAACAAAAACTTGAGACTACTATAACGTAGAGATTGGTCACTTCCCATGTTATAGTAGTCTCAGACAAAAACAAATCTGACTTTAAAAAAGTATGACAGAAATTTTTTGAAGAATGGACAACAATGAGATATTTATTATTCTAATATCAGAAAAAAATCTCATAGTATCAAATCAGAATGCAAGTTCTTTTTATTGCGATAATCAATTTAATCGCATTATTTACTTTAATAAAAACCTCATGATAATTTCTGAATTTACAGTCAGGACTTAGCTTGTCAATCTCTGCGCTTAAAAATTTAAGTTTCCTAGGCCTAAATGTCATGAATGTGGTTGAAATACTGACAATTTTGCTAACTTTTACCAAAAATCTATTTTTTTATGACATACATTACAATTTCAGAAAAAAAGCTGCACAAAGTTATATATGTATCACATAGCAGAATGCTAGTTTGTATCATGATTATTGCAATAAGTTGTTATTCAATTAATTAAAAAATATCAATTATTTTTGAATTAATAGCCCAAAATATTAATCTGGAATTAGTACATACATTTGTTTTTTTTTTTTAAACAGCTATATACTATTCATTAGCAGAGAATTCATTAGGGAACTTATTAATTTTGCACAAGACCCTCATGGCAGTTCACAATTACAGTGGTCTTTATAAACATAATGACACAATTTTATTGTTGATATATATAAACTGAAATCATTGCAGAATTTTTCTTTCAAATGATTTAATGTTTGTTAGTCACTTAGCAGTTTAAATACTTAACCTGTACTAAAATTAAGAAATGTGGTATGATTGCCAATGAGATAACAGACTAAAAACTATCCACCAGAGTCCAAATAATGTGTAAGTCATGTCTGTTAGCAGTTATACGTCACTTTACAGACATCAACAATGAATACATTTCATTGTTTTCAGGCAGATGAGGAAAAAGAAAAATTGTATCTTTTTAGCTTATGTACATGAGAATATAAGAAATATAATAATATAATAATATAAATAAGGAAATAAGAGAGACATAAAAGACAGGACTACATATAAAGTGTTCCCTTGCTAATCATTAGAGGAGCTGCTGTATACTTAGAAAAAAGGTTGTTGAGAACTTGGCCACATCAAACAGCATTTTTAGACACGTTATGGCCTATTGCAAT